CCTGTCAGCTGTTAAAATGGCTTACCTGCTTTATTCTGCAGAGATCTTCTACTGCCTTACCAGTCAGGAAAGTCATTGAAGTCACTTTGTTCTGCAGCAGACAAACAAAACAAAAAACAATTTAACTGTACAGCTGAGGACCATTTTGGTGATTTTCTCCATATTAATAGAATGCATATGTAAAAGAGGGACAAACTGTATTATTAAGAAAATAAATTTAAGAAGTGATCAATAAAAAAAGACAAGAAAAATTCCAAAGTGTAACTGCCCAAAAAATAAAAATATTCTTCTCTTTGCTTTAAAAGCTGTAGTTGAAATAAAGGTATATTTGCAACATTACTGTATAGATCTATCAATGAACATAATGTAAAGATTGAATCATCTCTTTTTGTTGGCAAATTTTAGGATATTCCACTACAGCCTGTTGGCATTATTATGATAGCTTGAGATAGCCAAATTAAATGAAAGCTTGTTATATTAAAGTATGTTGTAACTTCCCCTGTGTTTAGCAACTCTATGTTTTACAGAGCATCACTACAGTGCATACGACAAGTTGACAGAAAAAGAAATTTTGAGGTTGGACAAATTAGACAGTTGCACTTAGTGATAGTCAGAAACCTGGAAAATAGTTTGGTATATTGTAAAAACCTCTTAATTTGGATTATTCTACAGAAACCATAAGGAAGAACGGTAAATGGTGAAATAACTTGAACTCTTAAAACACCCCTGAAATGCAGCATGCCATCGAGAATTAAGTTTACCAGTATCAGGTTTTGTAAACTGTAAATTTAGTTGAATAAGTCTATTCATAGTAGATACAGATTTTAAAACTACAGGAATTACAAACTTTATTTTTTAAGTATGAGCTTCTGAATTAGAATTCCAAATGCTGCCAAAGCTGCCAAAGAAAATGGCAGCTTTTGTTTGATGAATATATACAGCTTTGATAATGTAGTTTTCATAAGAAACATTTTGCTGTCCACTTACCCCGAGATCTCTGGAATTGTCTACATGAACACACACATAACGAGCATTGATTCCTTTTACACAGTTAATTGTGATGTTTTTAGTTTTGTTTTTGTCTTCATCTCCTGACTCCCAAAATGTTTCTGTAGACCCATCTGTTAAGCTACCGATCATGGCAGGTCGGCTTGATGTTTTAATGTCAACAATACTTGTTAGGTCTTTTAGACAAACCACGATACACAATTCCTGTGAAAACAAATGAGAAACTGTAAAATATCTGGAATTAAGCCCACATACCTACATTGTCTATACTTTTGAAAACTAGGCAGATAGTTGTTGTGACGATTACACTCTCTAAATTAATGAAGGAATTTGTCATTGGTTATTTGTTATAGGTTATTCACCTCTTGAACCAAAGGATATACTAATAACTAAATACAGTAGTAAATACCTAGAACAATTCATAAATGGAAGAAAACACTTTGTTCATTAGGAGTATTTGTTTGCTTTCAGAATAAATGAAGAAAAAATGCATGAAAAATCACACGCTGGACACACTCAGTGTTCAAGATAACTGTTTAAACAATGGACTAACATAAACACTGCTGTAAAAGGTAGGTTCAGGTTGAGGGACAATATTTGAAAACTTTAAAGCAAAATATGAAAATCTGAACATCAAAAAGATTCTAATCTTTAATTAAAACTATCTGATTACAGGGACTAAAAGTTTTTCCAAATTAATCACTATGTTTGCAATAAAGGTGTAACACTTGCCTGATTCATGACTTCAAAACCAGACTGTATGCTGATACTAAAGCTCTCTTCACTATCCCCATCGTCAGATTTAGATAAAATATTGTTGATATGATGGAAAACATTGCTCTGATGTAAGAATTGATGATCAGATTGTTTGAATTTGAGACTCCAGCATCTGAAAAAAAAAAAAAATTGAACATTGCTTAAGAGACAGACCTTAACGGCAAAGTTATTAATTGCATTTTTGCTTCTCAAAATGTTTTTATAAACATTTAACTTCCTTTTTTTTTCAGGATCACAACTGTTGCTTTGTTATTTTGAGAAAGAGGTGCGTAAATTGTATCTTAACCACAAATATAGGATTACTTAATCTGTATTTAAGACAAATACACAGGAAAAAAAAATCAGAGAGCTTATGGAAGGATGAAAGGATGACAGGCTTTTCAAGCAAATATTAAGTTAACATGCATGTACACACATATACTATGGTATATTGCAACAATATTTTTTTGAATAGAGGATACACTACAGAATTTAAGATCAAATTCATTTTCACTCTTCAAAATCTTTTATATCATGTGTGAGGAAGTACATGCTCATTTCTACAGACAAATTAAGGTGTATTGAACTTCTGATCTACCATGCAAAATCCTTTCCTCGCTACTGTTAAGACTCTTTGAGCCCCCCTGAAGAACCTCCCTAACTCGTGCTTACCTTAAGGCCATTTGCTGCAGCGCACTACCACTGGGAAGGGACATCATCAGATCAGAGATTGTCTGCAGGAGACGATGGAAAGTGTGGGGTAACGGGTGAGCTGCTTCACCAGCAATCACTATATCTGACAGAGGATGTTCACATACTCTTGTGTCTTTCTCCTAAGATGTAATGGAATTTGTTAATATACTTTCAAGCCAAAAAAAAAAAGCAAAATAAATAGGAGTAAAAATGCTTACAGTACTCATTTTGAGGATAATTGCAGTAATCCTATAAACTGCCTCTTCGACCTGCACCTTTTTATAGCTCTTGAACACACCACCCAGTCCCCTGCAGGCACCATCATGCTTGGTACATGCAAGCCAACTTCCTCATCCCATATCAACACAGTTTCCTCCTCATTTCTTCTGCAATCCTTTCACCCCTGTTCAGCAATACATACTCACATAAATACATACATACTTTCTCTCCTCTCACTGCTACTAAGGATATTTGTTGCCACAAACAGTTTTCAAAACCAGGTTTTCTTCTTTTGACACTTCTGAGTATTTTTCCCTAGGTTCCTGAGGGTGGACAGTGTAGGATTTACTTCTTCCCCATATAACCCATTTTCAAAATGACCCACATTTGTAATTACTCTAAGAGGGGCTGCCTTTTTTAATCATGAGCATCATCTCTCATTGTTCCTCAAAGGAGGTGATGCCAAGGATGAAAGCCACAGAGTCTTTTATAGATGATATAATATATAACTTTATATATTCTATAATTACACAGAATTATATATATATTAGAAAATATACATAATTAGAAAAAATATATAAAACATATATATGTAATGTATATTTTACATATATATATATAAAAGAACAAAGGGATTTTCCCACTCTAGTTGTACTGCTATAATTACAACTGGAAAACCTCAGCGCAGTAAAGCTATTAGTTTTATTGATAATGATGAAAGAGAGATGACTAACAAAAATACCACCTAACTGCAGCCTGTCACAATTATGAAAATTAAAAATGTTAGTTTTGTTAATACTAAACATTTTTTTAACGAAAATTCTGTTAGGAACACTTTTATTAGCTAATTTTCTCAAACATATTAGAAAAAAAAATCAGGCTGAGAATTTTTTGTTTTTAGAGGGTCAAATTTTCTGTACAACCTGCAGGACAACAAGACTATCTGGACTTTTGAAATATTTACCTCTTTAGGATAACATTAAGATATTTACGACAGGAGAAAGGACTAGTGCACTATGCTCGGTTCCTGAAGGGATCCATTTAAAAAGAATTTTAAAGTCATAGAACGGTTGAGGTAGGAAGAGACCTCTAGAGATCCAACTAGTCCAACCCCCTCCTGCTCAAGCAAGGTCACATACAGCAGGCAGCACAGGACAAATTATCCAGTCAGTTATCCAAGGACAGTTCCAACCGTAGGTATTTGCCTTGCCCCGAGTATCCCAACTAGACAGTTAACGTCCTGCTCCCTCCTGCCTCCGCTGTAGTCAGGGCTCTGTCACCCTCACAGTAAAGAAGTTCTTCCTCACATGGAGATGGAACTTCCTGTGTTTCAATTTGTACCCATTACCCCTTGTCCTGTCACTGGCCACCAGCGAGAAGAGTTTGGCCCCATCCTTCCTACATTCTCCCCTCAGGTACTTGTACATGTTGATCAGATCCCAAACAGGCCCAGCTCAAACACCATCTGGCTGTAGCACAGGGGTTGGACTAGATGATCTCTAGAGGTCCCTTCCAACCTCAACCATTCTGTGATTCTGTGATTCATTTGCTTTAAATGGATTGGACATTATCCCTTGGATCTATCCATTTTTTTTTTAATTAAACCCTTTCTCATTCTAGATTCCCATCCCCATTTTTTCAAAGTTCAACACTGGATTTCTCACCAAACCCTAATGCATTAAAAAAATCCAAATATTTTGCACACAAATTAATCCTAATGCTGGAAAAGTACCAAATGACTGTCATAGATTTGTTACATATTGTGCATACATTTATGATAGCTTTTTTTAAAAATATGATCACACTACTGAAGGAAGATGGAGGATTTGAATACACATCACTTGAGCTGTATTTAGCTGTAAATTGCTGCCAGTTTCTAGCATGCCATAAAATTACTCATCCTAGTCAGCTGTTCAAGGTGATATTTTGTAAGGCCCCCATTCATTATAGTAAAAAGAAGCCCAAATAAAACAGAAGTAGCATTATTTTCCATTTCTTTTTATTCTCCTTTATCTTCCAATCAGTAATTATCGCAACTACACATAAAACAGCATTTATTTGGGAATTTATATATTTAAATAGTGGCTCTTATTTTGGAGGCTAAGTATAAGGGCTGGTGGGAACACAGCAGTCCCACTGCTCCAGCAACGTTTCTGAGGTGCCAGCTGAGGTCACCACGTGGGAGAAGACACACGGAGCACTCAAAGGTATCATGGATGGAGCTAGTGACAATCAGCTTTAATGAACATGTGCAAACACTTGGGGCTCCTAAAACCAAGTATGTAGAATTATAAATCTGCAGGTTGATATAACGTTCAAAAGGTGGTATCACACACAATTTAGAATGAGATTTTAGACACTTCAAAAATAAAAATGTACTGGAACTGAAAGGCTGAAAGGAATCATTTCAGAACTTCTAATTTTGGAGCTGGATTAATTTTGAAGGGATAGAAATCATTATTGTTATTAGAAGTGCTAGCATGATCTCTTGAAGTATTCATGGTGGGTAGGATAATGTTTTCAACAATTCCAACTAAACCTAGAGACCTTTGGAATGTTGAATGTTGTGTTAATTGCATCATCTCATATGCTAAATTTTGCAAACTATGTATTTCCCTAGAGTGTTGAAAGACATAGCATATAGAAAAAAAAAAGCTCCTCTGCAAAATATTTTCTTTCCTTTTTTTTTTTCTTTTTTTCTTTTTGAGTGGGGGAAATAAAGAGCAAACAGAAATTTTTTTTGTTGTTGTTACTGGATTAGGAAATGTGCGTTTGCATTTTTTTTCTTAAGCTGTTTGAATATGCTTAAGAATAATGTATTTAAACACTGGAATTTATCAGCACACAAAATTTGGCATTTTGAGAGCGAGAATAAATTGAAAGGGTTCAAGCACACACTGTATGATTTAAGATCAAAAAAATTTCATTCCTTAATTAAATTTGTCCTACAAAAATGAGGGTTAAGGCTTCTTCTTTGGCATACTAAAATATTTCTAAATTGTTTTCAAAATAAATAAAGATATGGCACTTATGGAAGGTATGCTGAATTTCACATACTTGTTCTGCATTTTCTTTATTTGATTTATTTTCTTCATCTTCCTCCTCTTCAGGTTCTACAGGTGCAGGTGTCAAGGAAGCCACAAAATGCCACAAAATGTCATGAAGAGAAGTTGTTTGAATGACATTACAAAGAAGCCAGTTAAAAGCCTAGAATAAAATACATGCCAAGAATTATCAATTAGCTAAGAAAAGCTTAGCAAAAGCAAAAAGTATCTTTTAAATATCTTAAATAGGACATGAATAGATATGTTTGGAAAGTCAAACAGTAACACAGAAGTCTGAAAATAAGGCCCTTATTACAAAAATAAGTTATTTAAAAAGCTTTAACAGCAAAAAAAAACAAAGCCCTTATGTATTTCCAGATTTTTTTTTTTTAGGATGAGGTGGCAGCACTGCTTATTACTCAATTTGTTTAAGAAAGTAACGATTATATTCTTAATTTACAACCTTGTAGGCTGAGGTTTGATTACCTTGTTTCATTTCTGCCACTGACTGAATTAATTTTAATTATTCAGTCACTTTCAAAAATTGAATGTAGTGGGAAAAAAAAAAGTTTTCAAAATTGCAATATTCTTACATTCTTCTTTCCAAAGCTGTAAACCTTTTGTGCACGGCAGTTCAGACCTGAAACTTGACTGACAGTGCTTATAGGAAAGAAGAGATCATTACTTAAACTGAAAAAATGCACTTATTCTTTTACAAGTTGTAAGTATTTGAAAAAGCTCTGATTCGATATGAACTTGACTTGAGCTCAGCTGAAGTTTAAAATAATATCCCACTGAGAGAGAATGCCTCTTGCAGCTTTCATTGCAGTAACTGATCTTAGCTATTCATTTGGTGACTCATTCACTATATAACTTGGGCAGCACTCACCCATTTCAGGGGGAAGTTGTAAACTACCCAGGTATTATCTGCACCAAAGCATAAATATACCATGGTAGAAGATTTACAGGTAAAATTAAGTGTGCCTGACTTTTAGAGCTAATAACACAGCTAAGTGAAAATTTAAGGCTCACTGATGCAAGAATTCAAAATCAGTAACAGATTTCTTTTATATATATATACATATATATATATATTTGTATATATAAACTGTTTTAAAACATATCTAACACTGAAGTTACTAATCTCTTATTACAGAAGGATCCATTAATACATTAATACCTCCATGGCAAAGACCCGGCAAGCAGATTTCCGTAAGGCCTGTTTCATTGCTATTTCAAGTCCTTCCAGATCATGATGCTGGATTACAAATGCCAGTACTGGCCACTGGAAATTTCTCTCTCCTTTGGAAAGAGAGCTGTGGGCGGAGATTAACCGAGAAAGTTCAGGAGATGGATGTCTCAGGAGAGAGGACCCCACTTCTATTTAAAAGCATAAAAATACGCATACATTAGATTCTTTGTGCAGTGTAACTTTATAACCACAGTAAAAACAAAATGCAAAAGAGCCATCATAGTACTTATATTTTACATATTTCAAAATTGCAGTTATTCCTGAGCTGTTCTTAGGCTAATCCTATGCGATTAAATGTTCATAGTCATTAGCAAAAAGAAAGAAAAGCCATTGCATCTATTTATAACATTTTTTGTCTGCAATTGCCAAGAACTGCAAATCCAATGCTGTGTTTTTTTCCTGATTCACGTATTTGTTCTCTTACCTGCATCTCCACTGTTGACTCGTCTCCTGGGGATCGCCTTAACTCGTGCTGGCAGAATTGAGTGCTGCTTGTCATATTCTGACGCAACAACCGAATACGATCTCTGAAAGACCGTACGCTTTGCAAGGTCTGTATCTGTTATTGGACTGGTTTCCAAACTACAAAGAAATCAGTGAAGTTATAGACCCAGTAGTAAATATAATACTCAAGTAATACATATGTATTAAATAGAGGGGCATGCATTTCATAACGACAATAGTACTACTGTATGGAAGTTTGTCTAGTAATTGTTACATTACAGGAAAGCACCATGCATTAGAATTACACACGATGAAAAAACATGCAGATATCATATAATTACAGTGCAGTAATTCATTGCTTGCAGTAATTCATGCAGTCCCATGAATTTAGGTTTTTTTTCAGAGAAAATGCACTCAGATAATCCCTGAAATTTTAGACAAATTTTGCCCTGGCAATACATGTGAAAACACCTATGATGTGACTTTTAAATATGCAAGCCAGTTGAAATTTAGACATCTATGTAATGATAACAGTTTCCAAAATCATGAGCCTTAAAATCCATTTTCAACTGCTATGGCTACCCCTCTGACATGTTTTACTCCTTACCTTCAGTAGACTTCTTACAATCTGCAAAAGAACTCCCAGCTTATGCTCTCCCTATAGACCTCAGGACCATGGTGTCCACAGTTTTAATAACGAAGTATACCCATACAATGCACTCTTAAGGAGTTTTGTTAGAAAAATTCTATTTCTGAAAAGACTATATTGTAGATTGCAGCATTTGAATACACTTTTTTTTTTTCAGTCAGTGTAAAATACAACAAATTGAAACAAAAACAGAATAATAGTATTTTTGCTTCATTTTGTCCTTGTTATAATACTAGAGATCACTGTTTGACATCTGAAATAAACCCAAGCATCAAAGGTGATTCTGGACTATTTAGTAACCTTTCTCACTGAGGCAAAACAAGGAACTCCATAACTACTTCAATTAGATTATGGTAAGCTCATTTAGGTGGGAAATTCACTTCATCTAACAGAATCCATCTAGCAATACTGGTATTAGATATCACTAAGCTCTCACTTCTTTGGTGAAATTTTTAACTTTCCACCAAAATCTGATCCCTTATTCAGTTTTGAGTCTGGAAAATTTCATTTGTCTCTACACGGAGAAGTAGACCTGGAGTAAGGATGAATTTTTCTCATACCTTAGTATGCTAAGAGTGATTTATCAATTTCAGAACAAACATTTTATTTGTATTTATGTTGTGAAATCAAGGCTTTTCCTTGAGAGAAGCAGTCCACCTGCACTGTCCCTTCAAGTTTTAAATCAAAAACGAACAGCTGATGTGCAAACGTAGCAAACTGAGCGTGAAAATTCACCTGACACTGCCACAATTCACTGAGGATATTTTTGTAGTTATGATTTATTATGTCAATTGTCTTTTTTTTTCCCTGAAATTTCAAAAGATTGTTCTGGGCTGACTTGATATTTTACCTACTTAACTACAATAACATTTCACTTTTTTCTTTTTTTAACTTTGTGTTATGCTAATATTTTAGCATCTGTATGTAGAACCTAGAATTACAAGGAAGTACCTTGGGGGCATAGATTTCATGTTACTCTCTGCTGGCTCTTCAAAGACATTAGGGCTTGCATCAGGAGTAACAGAGATGTACGGTGCAGGTACTGAGGTTGAGCGCAGGTACCTCATCTCATCCTGGAAGAGGTTGTCATCCTGGTACCCAGCGAAGTTTTCATGATGGTGCCTGCATGAAATTAGAACTTTAAATCAGCATTAAGCCTAGAAGTTACTAAAACAAAGATGCACACAAGTCCTTTGCAAATGCAAATAATCAGCTTACACTATTCATTTACTGTTCACCTAATGTATTGAAGCTAGTTGTGATTTCCATGTCTTAGTGTAAACCATAATTTTACTGCCTTTAATGCCTACTGTCATTTTACTGCCTTTAAGCTGCTTTTAATTACCTTGCTAATGTCTGTAGATAGAGACATGGCATTTTAATGGGAAAGTCTTCAGAAATTCCTTCTTTGACACTAGGAAGTTGAGACTGAAATGTTTTTGCAGGGTGATAGCAGAGGATACTGGGCTCAGCAGCACTACTCAGTGACAGCAAATACAGTGCATTAGCTTTAATCACTTGATGAGCTTCCATAGTTGGCAAGGCACGAGGAGTTTTAACTTGCATTGGTTTTCTCCTAGATTGTTTAATCTAGAAAAATACAAAAAAAAAGTATGTTTAATTTATACTTCATCCTAGGAAAAGCTGACAATGTCACTTACAGGAAAGGTGTTGGATTTTTCCTATTATAAATGGTGATTCCCATTATAAAATAACACTTCTGATAACTATGCAAACTTGTAACAAACAGCTAAGAGTGTTCATGCCAGATGCTTGCCTCAGGATGATTATCATGGGCAAAAATTTTGAACAAATTTAAAGAATTAAGTTAACATCGTTCTGCTCGCCTAAACAGAGGTAAGAAACTAAAACAAGCAGTAAGGAGTGAAAAAAAAAATAGGAGGAAGAAGCCAGAGAAAATTTAGCATCAGAAGTCAGCTTCATACAAAGCTAAGATGGTTGTTAAGGACAAAACAACACACACCGTCCTCCACATTCATAATCTAGAAGGATGAATTTCTGCTATGGATCTTTGGAAGAGCTGAGACTTGTGATCTAGTCAAGTTTAATGGCAGACAGCTCCAGCTGAGCATTCATAAATATTCCTTATAATTTTCCCTTGGGCCACCATACTGTATTTTTCAGGTGTTTTTCCAACCGGTAGCTTCCTGCAGACAAGGGTCACAGAATCACTGAGGTTGGAAAGGACCTCGGACGATTGCTGGGTCCAACTTACTTACTCAAAGCAAGGCCAACTAGAGCAGGTTGCCCAGAACCAAGTGCATCGGGGTTTTGAATATCTCCAAAAACAGAGACTCCACAACCTTTCTGGCAAACTGCTTCAGTGCTTGCCCATCTTCACTGGGAAGAAGGCTCCATCTTCTTTACAAGGTCCCAGCTGGTACCTAGATGCACTGATAGGCCCCCGTCACAGTCTTCTCTTCTCCAGACTACACAGTCTCAGTGTCCTCAGTTTCTCCCCTCAGTTTTGGGCCCTTCATCTCAGCTGCTTTTGCCGGGAGTGCTCTAATAGGTCCCATCCCTTTTGTACTGGGAAGCCCAGGACTGGACCCAGCACTACAGATGTGGCCTCAGCAGAGCTGAGTAGAGAGGAGGAATCATCTCCCCCTTGGAAAACAATGTGAAGTATCAAATAAGAAGTAATAAGCAAATGTTCTGTATTTTAAAGCTGTCAATGACTTAAGTGTACATTTGAATACTTTATGACATTCTGAAATCCAAAATTTATCATATCATCCTACATTTTGTTCAGTTTATAAACCCATATTGGTATTAAATGTATAAAGAGATGAACACAGGAGAAAGATAAATATACCTTCTCTCTTGCTGCTGCTTGCTTCTCACGGAGGTATTTTTCTCTGCATCGATCACAAACCAAATACCAAGTGCTTCCTCCAATACCCCCATCACCACAGTTACCAGCCCAGCCTCCGCAGAAGTGACCGATGCTGTTATAGCCTTGGCCACCCGCGTAACGGCCACAACCTACACGGGGTAAAAAGATTTAAAAGATTATGGGTTTTTTTCAAGCTGCCAATTACAAAATTTTACAAACTGCCTTTTGACTAAGGTTTAAAACTTTAGCGTTTGCAGCTGTACACTTTTTTTTTTCCAAGATAAACTTCAAGACAAAAGTTAACAGTCGCTGGTACCTAGGGATTGCAATAGGCAATTAATAACAGAAGAATAGACAATTCTAATTAACTAATATTATACCTCTATTTTTATTTCCAATTTTTCCAGCAGTTTGAATTCCTAAACTTTAACAAATGGTATGTTTTTGACGAGGTCCTGTGAAGTCAGCTCATTGATTTGACTTTGTTTCAAACAACTTTCTCCAGCATCCGTGACAGCTCAGATGACAGGATTTCCTGTGTATCCATCTACAGCGACTGCCCTTGTCCTGTCACTGGGCACCACTAAGAAGACACTGGCTCCCTCTTCTGAACACCCTCCCATTAGGTATTTGTAAGAACGGGTAAGATCTTTCCTAATCTGTCAGTCTCTCCTCCTGCAGCCCTCTCCTCGTGAGAGATGCTGCAGTCCCTTAATCATCTTTGTGGCCCCCATAACACTTCAGATTTCTTACACAAGTGCTCGGGACATTAAGTTTTCATTTAGCTTATATTGCGATCTGTGTTAAAATACTGGTAAGGCAGCTGGACTTATTTGTATGACAGTAACTGATACCAATGCATGAATAATATATTTTATAGGCAGATAAGGGGAAGAAAAGTATCTAATCTCACCTGGATGAGCTTGTCTCATGTGGTAAGTCACTGGATATGGATGGGATTCTCCACATAACTCACAAATGGTGTCTTTTTCAGGTCCTCCCACTGCAAGCTGGGCCATCTCACCAAAAAGATTCCCCCTTGGCCTGGCCTCAACCTTTTCTTTTTTCTTTTTGTCTTTTTTGGTTTTCTTGTTATCTTTGTCACTTTCCTTCTTCTTTAACACAGCACAAGAACCAGGACTTGGAAAAATCATATTTTGGGAAGCTGCTTTAATAGTTGCTAGAGAAATATCTTCCCAAAAAGCTACCAAATGCTGCAGTGTTAATGGAAGAGGAGACTTTGATTTCATTGCGTGATGACTGGATGTTTCAAAGGAGGTAGCTTCATTTTTTCCATCCTCACACTTCTCATGCAGAGGCGGTTCTTTTAACATAGAGAGGACCTTGTTTTTATTGATGCTTCCCATTTTTGATATGTCTGGTCCATGAGGTGCAATGTTGAACATGTTAAGAGCAGATGATATTTCCAAGGAATGCCTGTTTTTCAACTTGGTTTCTTTTTCCTCGGCTGGTTGCTGGCTCAGACTGCTTCGTATCGGTGCGTGCTCTTTGGACAGTTCTGGATTAAACTTCAAAAAAGACGAACAGGCCATAGCATCATGAACTATTCCTTCATGCCAGAGGAAAGCAGCAAAGACAGCCCTAGCACACTCTGCAACAGAAGGTGACATGGCTTGCTTGGCTGGCTCTACGGGTTTGGAACCATCGCCTTTGAAAAGAAAGCTGGACTTCTCCTTTTTGGGTCTGGTGTGCCTGCCCGCACATTTACGGCTCACTTTTGGAGATGCTCTCATGTCTTGCTCATCTTTCAGTGGGGCTTTTCCTATGCTGAAATGAACCTTATTAGAACCATCATCCACACTTTTAAACTCTGTGTTATCTTCACAGGTGCTATCTATAATGCTGTTAGTCTTTAGAGTACTTGAAGTACATACTTCCACAACTTCACTGTGAAGATTTTCTTGTACGACGTGAGGGGAAGGAGCTCTGTTTTCAGTTTCCGCAGCAGGCTTTCCATCTTTTGCAACAATTTTTGGTTTGGGTGAAGTGGATCTCCCCCGTAAGGGTTCTGTAAGCGGTACTTTCTTTTTGCGAAGGGTGTCTGGATCTAACGTGTAAGAATCGGATTTGGATCGTTCTCGAGGAGGATCAAGCTTTGTTTTTACAGGGGATGAAGCTTTCTGAGGTAGAGTTTTATCATGTGGTGATGAGGATCGTGGAGAACTAGCACCAGATCTAACTGCTGTAAGCGTCTTTGTCTTTGGAGAAGAGGACCGGGTTCCTGGTCCTGGAGATTCAGCTCTCAGACCAGTAGTTGTTCTGCCATCTGTTTTTAGTGTTTGCAGAGTGTTATGGTTTGGAGACAAAGATCTGCTGTGAGAATCTGACCGCAATTTTGCAGCATCTGATTTCAGCATAAGAGATTCACTAGCAGATAAACCTTCTGCATTCCTAGGTTTCTTCTGGTCAGCAGCAACTCTATTCATTCGCACATCAGGCTTGGGTGATCTGCTGTCAACCCTGTGCTTTGATGACATGTCTGATTTTCCTGCTGGAGAAACTGGTCTAGCAGCTGCTGTGAAATTCACTCGGTCACCTGTTTAGTACATTTTATAATCAAATTATTATATATTAACAGTGATACTTTTAACGAGGTGAGTCAAGGATTAAAGACCTCAATACAAAATACAATTGAAACACATGCTCCTGTTCACATTAAACTAAATCTAAAGGGATTTTTTTCCACTGAAATAATTTCAATACTTTCCCCAAAGATAAATATATACATATATATATACATATATATATAAATCCACCTCAAAATATGCTAGGAAGCATTTATAGAAAACACACAACTCAGAAGTTATCAGAAGCTGCAGTTCACTACTTTTTCCACACTAATAAAGGAAGCACAATTTACTTTCTTACCTAGAAATGCAGTACTTAATAACTAAATTTATCAGAGTTGCGATAGAAATAGAAAGGATTCTGTTCTGATTATCTCTGTGTGTGTCAGACTGATTACGACAAGGGGCCTGCTGAGAGATCATCTACAACCAGGTTTGTTTTCTTTCATGGTCAGGAATCATGTAAAATAGAAAGTAAATACAGCTATAAAGTGTGCAAAAGACTTACAAATATATTTAAAACAAATCACACGAGTAACCTGAGGCATCTGCATTTTTTGAGACCACATACTACTAACTGATACAGAACGGAACCTACCTCTTACTCACTATTAAGCTAAACCAGTCTTCAGCATCTTCTTATTTTGATGCAGTATTTTATTACTCCTATGCACACAGACTTTGTACATATATTAATCATGGCTTTAAAAATATATGCAGCTTAAATACATGCTAACTACAAACATATGCAAATAAGTACCTAAGTACCTCATCTACACAGTTTGCTTCTGACCATAACTCAAACATACTGAATCTTTCTTGTAGAATGGCATTTTGAAAATTCGAGACATGTAATGTTTAAATTACTGCCAAGAAATGTGGCAATCAAAACTTAATTATTCTATATAACTCTCTCTGCAAAGTATTACACTGCAAAACTTTCAACAAATAGTTAGCCCTTCTGATTTGAAAAGGCCTTGAATAGTTAAAAATGAAGTATGTCCTGTAAAGCTTTTAGAAGAAGGTTTTCAGCACTTTGGATTATTTGATTTTCAGTTATTATATGCTATTTCATCTGAGCTGGGATCATTTGGGGGAACAGATATTTGTCAAAACGTTTAATTTCAGTTAATCAATGCATAGAAAATTTGGACCTTGACTTCTAATGGGAATGGACAGGAGAAAAGGACATTAGAGGAGTCGTGTTTTATCCACGACCTTCAATATTTACTTTCGAGGTAGGAAATCTGCTTTTACTTCCTTCTGCTTGATGTGACCTGAACCAGCTTCCTTCAGCTCTCATGCATGAAGCTGTATTTCTATGCTAGGGAGTGTGTAGAGGCATGGGTGATCTCATTTTCTACTGACACTGTTATCCACAGTGTCACAGTGTTACTCACAGCATAAGAAAAAATATATTCTCTCAGGTGAAGGCTACAAACCAGATGTTTACACAGGTTACAAAGCAGTTCTTTGCACCCTCCATATTTATGTAGTTTATAACAAAACAAAACAGCAACAAGATAACTGAGTGTTCCCTATGCTGGAATATTTAGCAAATCTGCCAAGTTAAAGTATTTTCTTGTCCTCTCAGGACAGAGCAGCCTAGGAGTTCATACTTCTCCAAGCAGAGAAGAAATATTTTGTCCAAATTCAGGAACAGTATGTCAAACATAAACAGTAAAATACAATGGGAACATCTCAAATATGATCTTCCTTAAGGAATTTTGAGAGTTCAATCCATTTTTTCTTAAGAAACAATTTGCTGGTGGAGAAGAAGGGAAGAAATAAAATAGTATGTCTTTTTTGTTGGATATCAATCCAACCTTTCGTTGGTGCTAGCTCAGTTATTCACTAGCTATAATAGTAAACTCTTTGAATCTACTTTGTGATATATGAATTCAGAAATGAAAATTTTAATTGTTTTATATACAGTTTTCCAAGACACAGAAAAGACTAATTTAACATTTTCTAGATGAGAACATTCCATGGGAATAATCAGTCAAAGGGCCTTTTGCAGAACTCTCTCCCAACAAAAAAAAAAAAAAAGAAGTGAAAGGAAGACAACTGTCATCTCCAAGGACATAACACCCTGCAAATCCTTGAGCAAAGTATCAAAATCAAAGCGCCTGTATGACAGTGAATATCAAGTGGGAAAACATGCTGGATCAAAAACTTTTTATCGAAGGTGATAGTGATACTTTTCAGTATTAAAAATATATCTAATCTTTATTTTTTATATATTTGTTTATGATTTGTACAGATAGATTACCCTGCTTAGCACTCTGGACTCGGTCAGCACCAAGTCCTGCCTCCCTCTCCCCAAACTCTGCATAATACGGCATTAAACTGCTTTATCTGTAAATCAAAAAAATAAAAGTTTTCTTCCCTTTTCTTCCATATTTCATTTACTTACTGTTTGAAAGCAAGTACTACTAGACTGGATTAATAGTGAACTTTCTGTTTACAAAATGTCAAAGGATAGTTAAATCATATACTATGAAATCACTGCAACTTAGTAAGGCAACACTGAATTGTTCCATCAAGTGAACTCTAACAAATACCAAACATTTGAATATTTATTTTTAAACAGTATTTTATTAAGTGAATGAAATGAAAATGAATGGAAGAAAAGCAAAACACTTTGATGGTAAAATCTGAATAACCTTGCTATGTTTGCATGCATACCCACCCTTCAGTTTGTGAGAGAGAGATGAAATAGCAGAAGCAGGCCCAGCTACATCACTAGTTTTGTAAATACGTTCACGAGAAGCAAGGCAGCAGGGTGAAGTTTCTACAGTGGAAAACAGTTGCACAGAAGCAGCACAGATTCAATGGAAAAATAGCAAGATAAAACCAAGCATTTTAAATGATATGCAAATCCTTCGCTAAATATTCTGAGGTAACCACTAAGATTCCTACATTAGTTTTAAATGAGAAGCACTAACGTTTTCCCTGTTACATTTATAAAAGAATAAAAAAATCACTTTTGTGACTTCCGTTTATGTTATCAGAATCCAAAATGTAATATTCAGAGACTAGCCTGTAGAATTTATGTTTTACTATAAAAACGTGGCAGTCTCTAGTTTTGACCAAAACTGTTTTTAGACATGTACTTTTAATCTATGAATTCACAAATGTGAATTATTTAAAACTGCAACACGGCCTTCTAGATGACCAAGTCTCACAACCTTCTGAGAAAATGTGGGATGTTTGTGTCGGAAGGTATCACTAATTGCTGGAAAGAATGCTGAAAAATATATTAAGCCCACCAGAATCACCCATCAAATCTGAAAGTATCTCAACTGTTTCTAAAAGCTTCATATGTCATCCAAACTTTAGCTTCTCTATACTACTAAGAGACATAGCCACGAGTAAAAGAGATCTAACCAAACAGAACAGACATGACGAGTCACCTGTACCAACCCTTAAAAAAAACAATTTTCCCTTAAGAAAATATTCTAAAGTTAAATCCTGGTGTAATCTAAGATAGTTTCAATATGGTTAGAGTCCACCGACATCGAATCTGCTGGAGGCAGAGCTTCGGAGAGAGATAATAAGGAGCTTTAGATTCAACTCTATTTTACTTTCCTACAAAGTTGCTTTTATTTCAATTCCTATTCCTTCCTATATGAAAAATAATTCAAACTCTTAGAACATTGACAATATTTGAGAGATTTTGCATATTCACTATAAGACATATGCATTCACATTTTTGAGAATGTTTTTTTTATATCCACATAGAAGTATACAGAAGACACGCAGCTTTAGAAGACACCTTTGTACAAATGAAAGATTTTTTTTTCCCTCAAATTAGTGATTTAAATCCTTGCAAAGCTTAAGAAATTTGATGTGTGGTATCAGATTTACTAACTTGTACACATAGCTATACTAGAAACCCTGTTCTTAAGGAATCAGCTATAGTTCTATAAAGTAAGAGTGAAGGTGTTCACACAGGCTTGAAATAAGAATTTCATTCTTTAAAATCCGTAAATAATCTATGTTGTCAGTGCAGTACTGCAATAAATGTAAGAACAGTATTACCTACTTTGATGCCTACATATGACAACAATGCTTCAGCGCTAAGTAACTGAGAGACTGGTTGTCTGTCCAGGTCCCCTTCCCCTCCTCCCTTTTTTTTTTTATATAGATAAAATGCAGAAAAAACACATTAGGAACACGAAGTCACATTAAAGGAACACTTCCACAAATACAAGCCAAAAATGTCAACTTGGTATATTAACATTATACTCTATAAATGACCAAACGTAATTCTTTAGTAAGTCCAAGGCCATGCAGACACTGTGTTGTTTCATTCCATATATGAGAGAAATCACATTTTACTGTGTTGTCATTTAATTTATTCTGAATGCTGCCCTGGTGCTCAAGGATTTCAGGGAGGAGACTGTGGGTCAGAGATTTCTCCACATAATCTCCTTGCTGCCTTGGGAAATCATCTGTGTTTATCCAGCCTAGCTGGTTGGCTACTGCGACAGAATTCCTAGTTTTTATTCATCCTGAAAGACTACAAATTCCTGTCTTTGTGCACAGTGGTGAAGGAAAGGAGTGCCCTGCTTTTGCCCCTCTGCCTACCCTGCGGATGCCCGTGCAAGAAGAACACGTTGTTCTTTCACTCGCTGCTACTGATACGGGAGCTGGGTAAGGCTGTGAGATCGTTTTTCTTAAGCACTGCCATAAATACATCATTTTTCAGAACCAGAAAATGCCACCATGCCAGCTGGGCAAAGATTCTTTTTCTACATAAGTAAAAACATACACCGATCAACATCTGAATATTAAAAATCAAAAAGGAAAAGTAATATTAGACAGCATTAGTAGGGGAATGAATGAATGAGTAAACGCAAAAGCTGAAATGCAGCTTCATTGGAAAATACTGGCAATGCTTATTAGCCAAAAGACCAGAGTGCTAACATTTGAGTCACTTGAATAAATAAATTGAAATATTGGCTGAAAAAAACCTTGAATCTTGGAAGGGTAGATAATATGAACCTGTAATTTTGTAATTCATAATTATAAATTTGAAGGTATGATAAAACTAAACTTATACTAAAAAACAAAATAAAACACAAAACAACTTATCAGAACTTGTGGTCTTTCCCCAAACTTCACCTTACATGTCCCCTAGGAAAGGTTCTGGATTTAAACTATTCAAAATGTATGTTTTGTATCTATCTTACAATATCAAATCTGTACAGCCTAAAGTATGAAGCAATACGTAGCCTCTGAAACACCAGCTAAACTAATGCTCTCTGCCTGCTTAGCTTGACAATTAAGGCATTTCTGTGTTTGTGATATAGAATATGTTGGTGTAATAGGTTAAAAAAGGTTATCTCCCTGAATTTTACTTAAACACTCCCAAGAAAGATCCCACGTGCCATATGCACACTACTGCTTTATGCCCTCTCCATGGCTTAAGAAATGCTGATAAAAGCAGTGCCCGCAAAGCCAGTAGTTCTAAAGGGCAGTAAAAGAACAGCACCACGTAAGAAAGCGGCGGCTGATACCACATGAGGGTGTCGAGGAATCCCTCACGGGAATGGCAGAGGTTGATGAGATTTCGCTGGCCTGCAGCCCAGCAGCACGGGCTTGGGGGAGGCAGCGTGACGGGGCACCGTGCGCGGAGCGGCAGCCCAGCTCTGCGGGCAGCTCCTCCCCGCGCTGAGGGGACCAGGAGCCGGCCGAGCGGTGCGCCTGCGGTGCAGAACACACCATGGAGGAGGCTGCGAGGGGGTCTGAAGCCTTTTTGGCCAATAAATATGTTCTTCATTTCTGGTAGCCATGCAGAGGTGAGAAAAACATGCTGGGAAGAAGGTCTAGCTGGCGAGGTCTCGCAGTCCCCTCCCCAGCTTCCTCGCACGGCAGCCAGGCCTGCAGCCTCACTAACTCCTGCTGGACAAGTAACTGATGCTGCAGTTACAGCAGCGGCAAGATTTTGTCTCCCCACTTGTTGAATCTCAGAATTTTTGTGACGCAGCACACGATGCTGCAGGTTGAGAAACAAGACCTTCCTTGACGCTCTAGATTTCCACACACTAGCTATGTTCAGAACCAACCAGGAATTTGAGTCTTGTGTTTTTCGCAAAATTTACAGATCAATTAATCAAGTAATTGTGAATAATCCCACAGTGGTGGGAAGCTGCAGCTCCTGAGCAAATCTGTTCCCATCCTCTGTAGAACCTCTCAAAAGCAAATCTGCTCAGGCAGGAGTATTTGGACTTGTTCATTGGAATAAGTAAGGAATTGACATGCACAAACTGGTGTCCTCTCTATGACTCCAAGTCAGTACAACTGTTCCTAACCTCCACTCACGTTACGACATCCCCTCTAGCTCCATTGGGAGTTTAAGCTGAGGAAAAGTCCTAAAAGGAACTAAAAGGCATAATAAGAACATCTTAAATTAGTATATCCCTACGAAAAGAAAATAACCTCTCAGCTTTTTCCATTGTGTGAGCACATTTGTGAAAATTAGCAAAGGAATTAAATAATACAGAACATATGGCCTTTGTAAAGTTCTAGCGAATACTTAAAAATTGAGTAACACTACTTCCTGTTCTTCTATTATCCCACCTATAACACATTCCAAGCTTCCTTTGGCAAAGCACATAGGATTTTTTTTTTCTGATTAAGCTATTTATAATGGTGTGATAAGAAAAACTAAATGAAAATGAAATGCGCCCCATTTCCTTCAAACCTGGTACCTCAGGAACTGGTTGTCTAAAACGCTGTAGTATTTCTTCAGAAAATGACCTAACACTGTCTCTGAAGAAGTTTGTCATAAGCCCCTTCCCTCTTCCTTAAACAAATTTGGAAAAAACAAGGAAAAAATCAAACAAAAATAGATCCCGCTGCCTTCCCTCACCACACACAGAAACTGTTCTTAGAGAGAACGGCTGCTGCAAAGTCTTCTAAAGAAAAACAGCAATCCCTCACTAGCCCAGACTACATATTATATAGCCACATATATTCCATAGCCAACATTTTTCTTCTCATTCAAAATAGTCACCTAAGGAAGTAGCTCTTGGGGACATTAGTAAAACTCTCCTCCTTCATGTATGTAACTTACCTGACTTCTATCAAATCTTAAATTAGACAATAAGCTGTTTGGAAGAAGGTTTTTGTCTCAAACTAGTTGGCATGCCAGTAAACCACCTCTAGCTGAGAATATTTTGCCCTGCTGAGATATCTGAAATAACAGGGTGAGTAGCCTAGTAGGCTGAGATTTTACACTAAGATGAGATCCAGCCACAAAGCTAAAACATTTTCACATTCCCCTATTACTTCATTTGGCAGACCACCCAAGCTGCTCGTCTGACACAAAAGGCTTCTTTAAATTAGCGATCCTTTGTAAAACATGAAGTGTAGATTGAGACTTCCTGAATACAATTTATCTGCATTTGTTGGACAAGTTAAAAAAAAATAGAAAGCTCTCCTTTTCATATAATATGACTCTAAAATAATAAAATTGTTGAAACTTGAAAGAAGGTAACTACGATAAATTAATATCTGATAAAAAAAATGGAACTATAAATTCTGCTTTTCCTACTCTGACCTATAAAAGTGGTGGGAGAAAAGATACCATAAGCAATCATCTGAGTGAGTTACAGAATATTTTGCTTTCAGGACACTGAAACATTTAACTCTAGCACAAGTAAAGATCTTTGTTAGAGTATTTCTGATAGTCTCTACACAAATGAATGAGAGATTTTTTACCTAGCTCTCATTTGATGCACTTCACTGACCACCGACACCTGAATGAACTCAAATGCAGAGATGCAGGATTGAACAGCAATAGAGGCTGAACTGACTGTGTCCCACAAGGAAAAAAAAAAAAAGGGCATCTTTTAAGGACAGTTTATGGGAGAGAGGAAGAGACTAGCATTCCTACGACTCACAGGACATGCCCGACCATACGTTTTCTGTGGACGAGAAGGGATTCATTCTCCAGGACTGTGATATCTGCCATGCATTATGAGTACTAAGATTTTATTTTTCACTAAACACAAACTGAACAGTTTCTTATCCTTCCACCAGTAACTGCCCTCATCAGTAACTAACAGCTCTTCACCTTCAGGTGCTAACTTTGATGTGCATGTCAGTCCTAGGAGCACCCAACACAAGATTACAGAAGCCTGTTTTAAGTATTGCCCAGGTGCCCCAACTTTCAGCTGTCCTAAAGCTACAAGTGAAGACAAAATTAGGAATGTAAGAGGTAGGGAAATTTAAGAATTATGAAGTCAATTTCTCATGTTAAAAGACAACATTTTGTCAACACTTCGTACTGTAGAAAATATATACCTTAATTATAAACCCAGTCTTGCATACAATATTGGAAATGTACTTTCATGAATGTTATCTACAGTGCAGAGAACAACAACAACAAAATAAAAGCAAAACACTGCAAAAATATTGAAATTAAAGTTGAACAGGTATGCTTCTCTAGGAGCATTACCTCACATGCTTCCAACTCATGAAAAACTAACTGAACAAAACAAAAGCAGAAAAGTGCATGGAGGGATGATTAGCAGCTGGTAAGCAACTAAGAACAGCAATGTCAAAGCTTCAGAAATGGACTGATGAGGCAGGTAAGGCTGACAAACTTACTCTGAAGCTGTGGCTGAGGCTGCTGGAAGGAAAGGGACTGTCCGAACACAAATGGACTGTGGACTAGGGAAGAGGGAGGTTTTGCAGCTTGATCAAAGATGGAAGGAGCTGGGAGATTTGGCCGTGACTGAATGGAATTCAGTATGGCACTCAGTTGGTCACCTGTAGTGGGCAAAACAGTCAAAACTACAACCTGTTACTTGTCATTCTCCAGAAAAGCAGAGTAAAATGGTGCTCAATTAAAGTTTAAATGAAGATAATAGAAAAATCTCACAAATCTTATTTAGCCACATGCAGCTCTGATGGTGGCTAAATATAAAGATCTCACCCCATGCATGGCAATAAAATTATTGAAAAGTACAAGCAGGGCTTTTAGGAATTATGAATATTTTACTCAAATTATTTAAAACATTTCAAAAGACAGCTTAATTTATATCCATCTTGCTAAAAAATGAAGAGCAGCCAAAGAACAAGCAGATATCCCTAGTATTTACACATGCAACACAACATGCAGATAAAGACTAGAAAAACTGAAGAGAGGGGAAAGATAACATGTCATTAGACTTTGGCAAGTGTCTTTCTGGGCCAGGCTTTGCTCATTTTTGCAAATATCTTTAGAAGCATTCTGTCATGCTGGTTTTCAAGGTCAGGATCAGGTTGAAGAATATGTGTATTTCTGTGTGTGTGTGTTTTTTTTTTTTTTTTTTAAGAAACAATGTAAGAACCGAAATTGGTTTCCTGAAGGACTATATATAATTGTTGAAGGACAAAATATGGTCTTCACAAAAGTTGGCATGTTAAAAATACAGTTATAATTTCTGAATGTGGATTCTCAAAAATTTATATATGAGCATTAGAAGTATTTGATGCCTAGAGTAACAAGGTGGAGCTTATCACACCACGATACAACTGCTGGCATAAATAAGTGATAGGAAAGGGAGGCACTATGAGTTTGAGAGCCTGCCACCAACCGAACCCCAACAGCATCAGTTACTTCTGCAGCTTGGCATCTTTTTGACAGCATTCTAGAAATCTTGGTAGAAAAATAATCAGCTGCTGATGCACAAATTACAACTCACTGAATCTGGAACACATTTAGATGATTATAAATCGTCTTTCTGTGGAACTAGAGAAAGACTGGCGGATCTATGGAGCCCTCTATATATTATCTAAGCATTCTGAAACAAAATATTTCACTAATTTCCTTGATATTTTCTGTTTTAAAAGTGAAAGAACAAACACACCAGCAAAAAGCTGGAAAACCTATCTAGACAATCACCTATAGGTAGCAATATATTTTACTTCGCTGTTGTGGAAGTAGAATATCTAAAAATCACTGGAATCAGTGCATGGGCAACAATCATTCCTATCATACCAATTCAACCATGACAGACACACTTGGTAAATCGCTTCTTCTTAAAGTAGAAGTATTTCCAGTTCTTATACATAGCTATTTAAACAAATAATTTCAGGCCAAGAGTTGCATGTGTTTTCTAGGCACACACAGTGAAACCAAGGCCCAGTAGCGGCTCTCAGCTGTCTGTGGGCAGTTCACTGGCAGAAAAACCAGGCCGCACACAGGAAAATCCCCGTGTGGCACCGCCCAGAGCACGCTCTGCGCCCCTTCCTTCAGCTGAATGTTATCCACACACCTTTCAGGTCTAACCTTCCCAGCTCGGGTGATACCTGGAGCACAGCGCACAGCTGGCAACGTGCACCCGGCTCTTGCAGCTCGGCACCTTGGCCAACCTGAAGCACCTTTTCCGTGAGCGCCCTGCTTGCCCCAGCGCCC